ATAATGCACCGTCACACACTTCAAAACCAGTTAAAGACACATTAAAAGATCATGCCTGGGGAGTATTAACCCACCCACCATATTCACCAGACCTTGCTCCTTCAGTTTACCACAGTTCTCATCAATGGCACATCCACTTTCTGAAGAGCACTTCAAAACATACGAAGAAGTGGAAAATTGGGTCTCTGAACGGTTTGCCTTAAATTATGAAAAGCTATTAGGTGGAAGGGCTGTCCTGAGTTGAATCATGAAGTCCATTGCCTCCAAACCTTAAATCATCCTAACATCACTTCATTATTTGAAGTAATTGCCACCCAGGACAAGGTTTACCTGGTGATGGAGCACGTGAGGGGAGGGGATCTACGAGAGCACCTGCAGACCTATGGCCGCATGACAGAGCGAGAAGCGCGCGCCGCGTTCCGCCAGTTGGTGTCCGCGCTCCATTACTGCCACCACAAGGGCATTGCCCACCGGGACCTGAAACCCGCCAACATATTATTTGACACAAACAACTTTATAAAACTGGCTGACTTTGGTTTTGCTAAAGAAATGAAGGGCCAAAATCTGAGCACCTTCTGCGGCACCATGTACTATCTGGCCCCTGAGATCTTCAAACAAGACTACGACGGCTGCAAAGCGGACGTATGGAGCTTGGGGGTGACTTTGTACAAAATGGTGATGGGAAAGGTGCCATTCCGGGGGAAGAACTTCGTGAGGCAGAGGGAGAAGATCCTGGCGGGGAAGTTCAAAGTGCCGCACTTCCTAGGTAGGCAAGGCCAAAGTTTTTTAAACAAGTTACTGACTGTGGACCCCAACCAGAGGCCGACCATGGAAGAGGTCATGGAGGACCCCTGGCTCAACATGGGCCAGGAGGAGGAGCCGCTGCGGCCCTACATCGAGCCGCCCCAGGAGGACTTGGACCCCCACGTCACAGAAATGATGTTGGACCTGGGCTTCAAGAAGGATAAGATCAAGCAGTCAGTGAAGCAGAGGACATTTAATAAAGTTATGGGGACATACAGGATCCTGAGAGTGACCCAGACCAAGATGCCCGGACGCACCATCCGGGTAAGGCCCTCCCTTGAGGCCAGGAGCATTTTCTCCAGCCAGGAAGTGGGTGAGTCATTTCATGGGAAGATTGAACAACCTTCCAATCCCCTAGACTGCCCTGGGACTAAGGTGACCAATCCCCCACCAAACCTGGAGGAAACCATATCCAACACTCGCCCAGCTGACCCCATTGAGTTCAGGACAGCTACATTGAGTTCAGGACAGCTAGCTCCAACCCAGTCCTGAAGCGCGGCTCTGGGGGCTCCCCGGCCATGAGCAACAGCCGCAGCAGCAGCACTATCAGCAGCCGGGGAGCCCCAAGGGGAGCTGCTCATGAACTGGGCCTCCACACTGGGCAGGCTGAGGAGGAGACCAAAGACCTAGACTGCCCGGGGTCGAATGCGACCACTCCCCCAGGCAGCCTAGTGGAAACCATATCCACCACTTCCCCTGCTGACCCCGCTGAATTCAGGAGAGCTACCCCCAGCCCAGTGCTAAATCTTGGCCCTGTGGGATCCACCACCACGGGCAACAAAAGCGGCAGGAGCACAATCAGCAGGGGTAGAGCCAGAGGGGGAGCCGCCCATGAACGCGGCCTCCACACTGGGCAGGCTGAGGAGGAGACCGAAGACACTGACTGCCCGGGGTCGAATGCGACCACTCCCCCAGGCAGCCTAGTGGAAACCATATCCACCACTTCCCCTGCTGACCCCGCTGAATTCAGGAGAGCTACCCCCAGCCCAGTGCTAAATCTTGGCCCTGTGGGATTGTAATTTGTAAAAATTTTTAACTGAAGGCGGGACAACAGTTACCTCAAAGGTGCAGGTGCGGAGCTCCAGGAAGGCCATGCATGTGTTACGGGAGCTGAGCCAGAGGATGGATGTAACCAGCTCGGGGCCAGCGGCACCAGAAATAAACACAGTCTGTGCCAGGTGAGAGCACGTGGTGCAGCCAAGGATGGAGGCGTGCAAAAGGCTGAAAAGATGTGTCCAAGAGGATCATGACTTTGGCTCCCTATCACCGCCAACACCAGGCACAAGGTTCGATGAAGAACGCTGCCCAGGAGGCCGAGACATAGAACTTCTCCAATGCAGTCTGGTTGGCTGCGCTCCAGGCCTCCCCCGATGAAGTCTGAGTGGCCAGGAGCCAGCGATAGCCCGACAAAGTCCAGGAGGCCGCAACCCAGCGGTCCCCCGATGCTGTCCAAGAGAAGGCGATCCAGAGGTCCCCTGATGCTATTCAAGAGAAGGCATTGCAGAGGTCCCCGACGCTGTCCAAGAGAGGACGACCCAGCAGTCCCCGACACTGTTCAGGAGAAGGCGATCCAGAGGTCTCCCGACGATGTCCAAGGGAAGGCGATCCAGCGGTCCCCAGACGCTGTCCAAGGGAAGGCAATCCAGAGGTCCGCCGACGCTGTTCAAGAGAAGGCGATCCAGCGGTCCCCTGACGCTGTCTTAGAGAAGGTGATCAGGAGGTCCCCTGACACTGTTCAAGAGAAGGAGAACCAGAAGATGACCCAGCGGTCCCCTGATGCTGTCCAAGAGAAGACGACCCAACAGTCCCCAAAGCTGTCCAAAGACAAACCAGTGGTCCTCTGACGCTGTCCAAGGGGACAAAGTGGTCCCCTGACGCTGTCCAGAGAACAGGACCCAGCGGTCTCCCGAGGCTGTCCAGAGAACGGGACCCAGCGGTCCCCCAATGCTGTTCAACAGAAGGCGATCCAGATGTCCCCAACGCTGTTCAACAGAAGGCGATCCAGATGTCCCCTGACGCTGTTCAACAGAAGGCGATCCAGAGCTGCCCTGATGCTGTTCAAGAGAAGGCAATCCAGAGGTCCCCCGACGCTGTCCAAGAGAAGGGACCCAGCGGTCCAGCCACGCTGTTCAACAGAAGGTGTTCCTAGAGGTCCCCTGACACTGTTCATGAGAAGGCGATACAGAGGTTCCTCGATCTTGTCCAAGAAAAGGCAACCCAATGGCTTCCCGATGTTATCCAAGGGAAGGGGACCCAGCTGTCCCCTGAAGCTGTCCAAGAGAAGGGGACATAGCGGTCCCCTGACGCTGTTCAAGAGAAGGCAACCCAGCGGTCCCCCAAAACTGTCCAAGACAAGAGGACACACCGGTCCTGGGTCCCCCGATGCTGTCCAAGAGATGGCGATACAAGGTCCCCCAACGCTGTCCAAGAGAAGAGGACCCAGCGGTCCCCCGACGCTATCCAAGAGAAGGCAATCCAGATGTCTCTTGAAACTGTTCAAGAGAAAGAGATCCAGAGGTCCCCTGATGCTGTCCAAGAGAGGGGACCCAGCAGTCCCCCTTACCCTGTTCAAGAGAAGGCGATACAGCGGTCCCCTGATGCTCTTTGAGAAGGCGATCCAGAGGTCTCCTGACACTGTCCAAGAGAAGGTGATCCTGCGTTACTCCGACAATGTTCAAGAGAAGGCAACCCAAAGGTCCCCAGACGCTGTCCAAAGAAGACAACGCAGCGGTCCCCCAACACTGTCCAAGAGAAGGCGGTCCAGAGGTCCGCCAACGCTGTTCAAGAGAAGGCGATCCAGAGGTCCCCCGATGCTTTCCAAGAGAAGGGGACCACGCGGTCCCCTGACGCTGTCTTAGAGAAGACGATCAGGAGGTCCCCTGACACTGCTCAAGAGAAGGCAAACCAGAGGTTCCCCAACCTTGTTCAAGAAAAGGCGACCCAGTGGTCCCCGATGGTGTCCAAGTGAAGGGGACCCAGCTGTCCCCCAACGCTGTCGGGAGATGGGTACCCAGCCGTCTCCCGATGGTGTCCAAGTGAAGGGGACCTAGCAGTCACCAGAAGCTGTTCAAGAGAAGGTGATCCAGAGGTCCCCTGACGCTGTTCAAGGAAGGAAATCCGCAGGTCCCCTGAAGCTGTTCAAGAGAAGGCAATCCAGAGGTCCCCGAAGCTGTCCAAAGATGACCCAGCTGTCCCCAGATGCTGTCCAGAGAAGGGGACCCAGCGGTCTCCGGAGGCTGTTCAAGAGAAGGCGATCCAGAGGTCCCCCGACGCTGCCCAATAGAAGGGGACCCAGGGGTCCCCCGATGCTGTTCAAGAGAAGGTGATCCAGAGGTCCCCCGATGCTGCCCAATAGAAGGGGACCCAGGGGTCCCCCGACGCTGTTCAAGAGAAAGCGATCCAGAGGTCACCTGATGCTGTCCAAGAGAAGACGATCCAATGGTCCCCAAAGCTGTCCAAAGAAGACCCAGTGGTCCCCCGATGCTGTTCAGAGCAGGGGACCCAGCGGTCTCCGGAGGGTGTCCAAGAGAAGCGGACCCAGCGGTCCCCCGACGCTGTTCAAGAGAAGGCGATCCAGAGGTCCCCCGATGGTGCCCAACAGAAGGGGACCCAGAGATCCCCCGACGCTGTCCAAGAGAAGGGGACTCAGCGGTCCCTCGATGCTGTCCAAGAGAGATGACCCAAGGGTCCCCCGATGGTGTCCAAGAGAGGGGACCCAGCGGTCCCCCAACGCTGTTCAACAGAATGCGTTTCTAGAGGTCCCCTGACGCTGTTCAAGAGAAGGAGATCCAGAGGTTCCCTGATCTTGTCCAAGAAAAGACGACCCAGCGGTCACCCGATGGTATCCAAGAGAAGGGGACATAGCCGTCCCCAG